GAAACATGGTTTATCCCATCACTGTTATCATCTAGCTACTGGAGTGCCTCAGGGCTCAGTGCTGGGACCACTTCTCTTCTCCATCTACATGTCATCACTAGGATCTGTCACTCAGAAATATGGTTTATCCCATCACTGTTATCATCTAGCTACTGGAGTGCCTCAGGGCTCAGTGCTGGGACCGCTTCTCTTCTCCATCTACATGTCATCACTAGGATCTGTCATTCAGAAACATGGTTTCTCCCATCACTGTTATCATCTAGCTACTGGAGTGCCTCAGGGCTCAGTGCTGGGACCGCTTCTCTTCTCCATCTACATGTCATCACTAGGATCTGTCATTCAGAAACATGGTTTATCCCATCACTGTTATCATCTAGCTACTGGAGTGCCTCAGGGCTCAGTGCTGGGACCGCTTCTCTTCTCCATCTACATGTCATCACTAGGATCTGTCACTCAGAAATATGGTTTATCCCATCACTGTTATCATCTAGCTACTGGAGTGCCTCAGGGCTCAGTGCTGGGAACCCCTTCTCTTCTGCAACTACATGTCATCACTAGGATCTGTCATTCAGAAACATGTCTTTTCCCATCACTGTTATCATCTAGCTACTGGAGTGCCTCAGGGCTCAGTGCTGGGAACCCCTTCTCTTCTCCATCTACATGTCATCACTAGGATCTGTCACTCAGAAACATGGTTTCTCCCATCACTGTTATCATCTAGCTACTGGAGTGCCTCAGGGCTCAGTGCTGGGACCGCTTCTCTTCTCCATCTACATGTCATCACTAGGATCTGTCATTCAGAAACATGGTTTATCCCATCACTGTTATCATCTAGCTACTGGAGTGCCTCAAGGCTCAGTGCTGGGACCGCTTCTCTTCTCCATCTACATGTCATCACTAGGATCTGTCACTCAGAAATATGGTTTATCCCATCACTGTTATCATCTAGCTACTGGAGTGCCTCAGGGCTCAGTGCTGGGAACCCCTTCTCTTCTGCAACTACATGTCATCACTAGGATCTGTCATTCAGAAACATGTCTTTTCCCATCACTGTTATCATCTAGCTACTGGAGTGCCTCAGGGCTCAGTGCTGGGAACCCCTTCTCTTCTCCATCTACATGTCATCACTAGGATCTGTCACTCAGAAACATGGTTTATCCCATCACTGTTATCATCTAGCTACTGGAGTGCCTCAGGGCTCAGTGCTGGGACCGCTTCTCTTCTCCATCTACATGTCATCACTAGGATCTGTCATTCAGAAACATGGTTTATCCCATCACTACTACACTGATGACACACAACTCTACAGGTGATGATACACAGGGCAACTTTTTGAGCAATGTTGCCGAGCGATTGTTGCTTTGGCACTTTCCCATTGAAAATGGGCAATACATTTCTATCTGGATAATTTATCTCATATTTATCTCATCTGGTTGCCTGTTGACGTTGCCCTAAAAGTTGCCCTGTGTATCATCACCTTTATACCTCTCAATCCAACCAGAGAATCCGACGATAGCCGCTCGCATCTTAGCCTGTCTGAGAGAATTCTTACTGGATGAAGGACCACCACCTTCAACGCAACTTTGTGAAGACAGAACTGCTTGTGTTCTCGGCCAACCCAACACTACATCACAACTTCTCCATTCAGCTGTAGAATCGTCATCCACAACTCCACCCAGGACAGCCAGGAACCCTTGAGTTGAGATTGATTATCAGTTGAACTCCACAGAACACATTGCTAGAACTCCCCAGTTCTGCGGATTTACTTTATACAGCATTAGGAGGATCAGGACCTTCTTATCGGAGCTACACATCTCCTTCTCCAAGCTCTTGTTCTATCCAGACTGGACTATTGTAATGCTCTCTCCTTCCAGCATCACTGTCAAACCTCTGCAACTGATCCAGATGCTGCAGCAAGAGTGTGTTTATCGAGCCGAAGAGACACACGTCACTCCTCTCCTCATAAACTTGCACTGGTTTCCAACAGCCGCTCACATCAAATTTGCTCTGCACTATACCTAAACTCACTACTCCAGACCGATGTGTCTCCAGAAGCTTGTGTTCTGCAGGTGAACAGCGTATTGTGGTGCATCATCCCAAAGTGACACAGAATTTTGGATAAAAGCGTCTGCTAATTGATTAAATGCAAATGTAATGTCATGTATAAATATGGCATGACCTCATTAGCTAAACTGTTTAGAGGTGGTTGATACGACCAAAATATTAATCCCAGATATGCATCATTTTTATCATGTGATTCTGAGAGTTAAGAGGTTAAATCGGCCTGAAACTCCACTGAAGTCTCACCAGTGAGGCGAGAATAGATCCTCCGATCCAGGAGCTGAACCTCCTCTCGATGGAGCTGTTACAGGCCATGAGCTTCAGTCTCACGCTCTGCAAACACAGACAGCATGAGTAGCCAAGTTTCCATCCACTTGTCAATCGAATTATCTGAAGTTCGGTAAAAAAAACTCATGCGAATAAAGCTGGTGAAAGTGTGTTTCCATCCAACGGCTTTAAAGCAAATAAAAACCTGTACGTAATGACGTCACGTGCTGTTTTGCGATCAAATTGGTATATCGAATTGATTTGAGACATTTTAAGGTGTTTCCATTCATTTTCGCACTGAATCGCACAACATTCAAGCAAACATTTGCAAACAAAGTTTTGCTAGACAAAATGGATCGCTTATCTACCAACAAATGATCAATATTGCACAAGTTGTAGGCTAATAGTGCTTATGTGCCAGCTGATAGCGACATATGTGAGGGATAATGTATAGCGAGGTGGTTGTTAGCCTGAAGGGGTTGTATTCGCTATAACAACCGCCTCGCTATACATTATCCCGCTTATTACATGGCTACCTACCAAATAAATCAATAATTTGAAACAAAATATTGATTTAAAAAGGAGTTTATTGATTTAAAAACGATTGTATTGCTTCCGCTAAACGCTCTGTTTTTCATGGCAACGGTGTGTTATACTTAGCAGCATCAAGAAATAACAGACCGCATTCTACATTAGAATTCAACCAAGCCATGTAATAACAAGCTATAATAAGAAAACAACGACGCTCTCAACACATGGCTATGATGACGCAGATGCACGTAAATGCCCGACGACAACGGAGGCGCCTGTGGTGTGGGACTTAACAGCGCTCCATCAGATCGTGGTTCAGAGACACCTCACGGACACCCTTTGGTTGAAGCATTTCTTTGCTTTGTCCACTTACATCTGTCTTTGACAGATTTGAAAAAGGCATTTTTCATTCGATATCACTTAATTCGGATAAAAATGTGTGGATGGAAACATAGCTAGTGTGTGTGAAGACCAGATCAGACTGAGACGTCTGAGATCAGGAACACACCGGAGGAGCTTTCTGAGACAGTTCTCGGTTGAGTCTCTCGGTGAAGCCCTGGAGGAGTGTGTTTCCCCCCGTCACCATCACGCTGCCGTACAGACCCTAAACACACACACACACACACACACACACACACACACACACACACACACACACACACACCTCAAACATCAGTGGTTCTGCTACTGTTGCACATGTAGTAACCAAAGCGTTAAAACAAAAATCCCTCAAACACTCACTCACTCACTCAGACTCACTCACTCACACACTCACTCACACACACACTCACTCACTCACTCACTCACTCACTCACTCACTCACTCACTCACTCACTCACACTCACTCACACACTCACTCACTCACTCACACTCACTCACACACTCACTCACTCACTCACTCACTCACTCACTCACTCACTCACTCACTCACTCACTCACACTCACTCACACACTCACTCACACACTCACTCACTCACTCACTCACTCACACTCACTCACACACTCCCTCACTCACTCACTCACTCACTCACTCACTCACTCACTCACTCACTCACTCACACACACTCACACACTCACTCACTCACACACACACTCACTCACTCACTCACTCACACACACTCACTCACACACACACTCACACACTCACTCACTCACTCACTCACTCACTCACTCACTCACTCACACTCACTCACTCACTCACTCACTCACACTCACTCACTCACACACTCACTCACACAAACACTCACACACTCACTCACACACTCACTCACTCACACACTCACTCACACTCACTCACTCACACACTCACTCACTCACACACACACTCACTCACTCACTCACTCACATTCACTCACTCACTCACTCACTCACTCACTCACTCACTCACACACTCACTCACTCACTCACTCACTCACACACTCACTCACACTCACTCACTCACACACTCACACACTCACTCACTCACACACACACACACTCACTCACTCACTCACTCACATTCACTCACTCACTCACACTCACTCACTCACTCACACACTCACACTCACACACTCACTCACTCACACACTCACTCACTCACTCACTCACACACTCACTCACACTCACTCACTCACACACACACTCACACACTCACTCACACACTCACTCACTCACTCACTCACACTCACTCACTCACACACTCACTCACTCACTCACTCACTCACTCACTCACTCACTCACTCACTCACTCACTCACACTCACTCACTCACACACTCACACACTCACACACTCACTCACACACTCACACACTCACTCACTCACTCACTCACACTCACTCACTCACACACTCACTCACTCACACACTCACTCACTCACTCACTCACTCACTCACTCACTCACTCACACTCACTCACTCACACACTCACACACTCACTCACACACTCACTCACTCACTCACACTCACTCACTCACACACTCACTCACACACTCACTCACTCACTCACTCACTCACTCACTCACTCACTCACTCACTCACTCACTCACTCACTCACTCACTCACTCACTCACTCAATGACTCAATCAATGACTCACTCACTTACTCTCTGTCAGTTCAAAGCTAGACTAAAAACACATCTCTTTGACCTAGCATACACATAACACA